CTCCTGCTCTCCAAATCCCTGGAACACCTCCTGGCCCTGGCTGGGGTGAGTGAAATCCTTCCCAAGGCAGGAAAACCCCTTCAGTGGGGTTATTTAGGATACCTGCCCCTAAGGATTATCCCCCCAATCCCAAATTTCAGGTGGATCCGTGCTGGCAGTACCCGAGGTCACGTTTTTCCCATGTTTTGCTGCTCCATGCCGTGATTCCAGCGGGAAAACACAAGATTGCAGCAGTTTTTAACCCCCACAGTTCTTGCATTTGGGTGTTGTTTTCCACAGATCCTGAGTTCTTCCCTCTGAGATCCCCTTTTCCCTGTCCTTCCTCCTTTCCTTCCTCCTTTCCCGTTGGCTTCTCCTTGACTTTTTTTATCGCCAGGAATTTGGGATTTTGTTTGTTTTGTTTTTTTTTTTAAGCCCATCCTGTTGCAAATCGTTTCCAGGGGGTTAAAAAAAATAAGGGAACAACCTCTTCCAGCATCTCAGCTCCCTCTGAGGGGCGTTATTCCCCTTTTTCCTTGTTTTTTAGGAGCGATTCCTTCGGGTGGAGCTGATGAGTGAGGCTGCCAAGGCCGGAGCATCCCAGACCTGCTGCGTGTCCAAATGCACAAACATGTTGGATCCCAGCTCCAGGCTGGTTGTGAGGAAGCTCCCGTTGACTCACGTACGTCTTTTCCCTGGGATTTTGGGATTGGGAGCCTCCAGTCCCTGTTCTGAGCCGGGATCTCACCCCCACAGCTCCCCATCCTCGTGACTTCCCGGGGGGATTCCGGGTGTGTTGCACTTCCCACGGATCCACTTAGTTCCCAGATTTCTCATCTGAGACATTTTGTGGTCTCAGGTGGAGCCAGTTTGGGGGTTTTGTTGTGTCAGATCCCACACCTGAGTCTTGGAGCATCCCATGGGATTGGCAGAGCACCCCTCGCCCCAGGGACAGTCAGGTTTTGGGGTCCAGGTTTGCCTTTGATCCCACCCTCTGGCTCTGGGGTGGAGCCTTATCCAGAGGGTACCATGAAGGCCAAGCTCTGGAAAATCTGGGAAGCTCCACATCCAGGGGACAACAGATGGCTCTGATCCATCCACAGGGACACGAGGGCGGGACAGGAGGGAACGGCCTCGATCTGTGCCAGGGGTCGTTTAGGTGGGATTCTGGGGAAAATTCCTGCATGGAAAGGGTTGTCCAGTGGTGGATTCCCCATCCCTGCAGGGATTTAACAGCCACGTGGATGTGGCACTTGGGGACATGGATTAGTGGTGGCCTTGGAAGTGCTGGGGAATGTTGGATTCGATCTCAGAGAGATCTTTCCAACCTAAACGATTCCATGACTCCATCAGGGATTTCCATGCTTTGGGCACATCACCCTTCCCTTCCCTGGGTGGGAGGGGCTCGTGGCCGAGGTTGGAAGCGGAACTGGTGTCCCTGCAGCTCCCTCTTCCCTGAAATTCCCGTCTCTCCCTCCCGCAGAGCAACGGCAGCCGCGATCCCGGGGGATTCCTGTGCCAGCCTTGCACCCGGCAGCGCTTCGGCTCCCTGGCTCCACTCACCTCCTTCCCAGCGCTCCAGGAACAGCCCTGCCAGCTCTAGGGAAGTCCTCCCAGCTTCCCAAAGCCCGTTGGTGCATCCCAGCTCAGGAATCTGGTGGATATTGGAGTGGGATTTGGGTGGATATTGGAATGGGATTCCAGCCCGGCTCCGGAGGAACCCCGTAGGCTCTGGGAGACCTTCCCTGCAGCCCTGCCTTGCCTTCCAGGAGCTGGGAAGCAGAATATCCCAAAGAATGTGCACTTTAAGAACTGGATCAGCATTAATTTTGGAGCATTATCCCTGTGTACCTCTGTCACAGCGACCAAACTTCCCTGGATGTCCCTCCCTCCTCCCTGACGTCAGCGCTCCGTGAAATCCCTCTGATCCGCTGGAAGAGGAGGAAATGCAACCCTGGAAAGCTCCCAAAGGAACAGGCTATTTCTGGGAAATGGACTTTCCCTGGCCAGCAATGGGAGGAAATCATTAATCCCTCCCAGGAAATGATTCCCCTTCCTGGCAGCCAAGGGCTTTCCCAGACTTTGCTTCCCTTTTCCCAGGACCAAACCGTGAGGGAAGAACTGCTCTGGTTTGACCCGGAGACAAACTGGAGAGAGTTTTGAATCCTAAAACTCCATTTATAACCAAAAAAAAAAAAAAAAGCCTTAAAACTTCCTCGTTTTCCTCTTCTTTAACAAGTGCTTTGGCTGCATTGAATTCCAGCTCTTGGGAAAATCCTGGTGGATCGTGCTCCGTTGTGCCGCGATTCCGGAGCCTGTGCCATGGAAGAGCGAAACCGAAAGTGGTTCCGGAAGGGATCTGCCCTTGGATCCAGGCCCGGAGCTGGAGGAGCCTCATGCATCCTGTTATTCCCATGGGAGCTGCTGGAAGGGCTTGACTCCAGGAGCGCATTCCCTGCTCCGCTCACCCTGGGGGCAGGAATTCCTAGGGCAGGAATTCCCGCTTGGATCGGGACGTGGATGTCGGAGCAGGAACCTCCGGTGCTCCATCCCGTGGGAGAGAGGCACTTCCAACTTCCATGGCTGGAGGGTCTGGACTGTCACAGATCCATGGCGCCAATTCCTTCCCCACAAACAGGAGGACAAGGCACAGCAGGCAGGAAAGAACATGGAATTTTGGGCTGTTGATGGGAATTCTGGTGCCTGATGAGCCCTCAGTGCTGCAGAGATGGATTTCATGGATTTTCATCCCAATCCAATCCTTCCCAATCCTGGCTGAGACCCCCCAATCAGTTCAACAACCAACTGCTCTGTGTGATTTTATATAAAATATATATATTTATACATAAAAAAAAGGCACCAGAGCTGCCTGTCCTGAAATAAAGGAAACCAGTGGATAAAAACCACCGAGGGATGAAGGAAAACCACAGCGAGGGAAATATTCCCTAAGTCACGTCCTGGAAGTATTTTTTCCTTGGAATATTTCCTAAGTTTGGCCTCTTGAGAAGTGTAAATTGTAGTGAAATTGCTCCAGGTTGGGATCCCTGGGAGCAGCCAGAGCCAGGGGGGATCAGGAATCCGGAGCCTGGATCGGTGCTGGAAGTGCTTCCAAAGGATCCCTGAGCTGCATCCGAGGGCGGAATGGGGCTGGAAAAGAGCAGGAAAGGGGTGAGGATGTGTGGAGGGATCTTTGGATGGGTCCCTCTCCACCTAATTCCCAGGATCTCAGGGAATTTGGGGGCAAAGCCGCTCCAGGGATGGGGTTGGTGTCCGGTTGGGCAGCTCTGGATGTGCTGCTGGATAGGGAATGGGCACTGCTTGGAGCAGGGAAGCTCAGCTTCATCCCAAACACCCCCAAACGCCCACATCCCGGTATCCCAAATGCCCAAATCCTGGCATCCCAAATCCCAGCATCCCAAACATCCAAATGCCATCATCCCAAACACCCACGTCCCGGCATCCCAAACACCAACATCCCGGCATCCCAAATGCCCAAATCCCTAATACTCAAATCCCAGCATCCCAAACACCCAAATCCTGGCATCCCA